AGCGCGAGCATGCCGAAAACGACCGTCGACCACGATTGGGAGGCCGAGTTTGCCTTCCTCGAGGAGGACTATGTGCCCCAGAACCTGCAGGATCTCTTGACCCCTGCCGAGAAGGCCCGCCGGGGTTCCCTCCGGACTATCGATGGCGAGCCCGGAAGCGAGAATGCGACCAAGTTCGGCAGCCCCATCACCGGAGCCAGCCCGAGCCGCTGGGGGCCTCTGTTCCAACGCCAGAAGGAGGAGGAGCTCCACAAGCATGGCCCCTCGGCCTTTGGGCACGTCGGCAGCCCCCTGCGCAACTCCGTTCTTTCCAACGAGATGGGCAACGGCAGCCTGTCCTCCCGCCCCATTGGATCTCGTGCCGGTAGCGAGTCCATGTCTGCGCTGACCCAGCAGCTGCAGCGAACCCGTCTGGGCGACGACGGCAGCGCCAGCCCGCACCTGCACCCCTTGGCGGCCACCGGCCGGGGCCCCAGCAACGGTGCCGGCCCCATCGGAAAGGAGCGGGAGCGGGTCATGGAGCGCCATGTCTCGAGCGGGTCCATCAGCTCTTCCGTCACCGGGCGGTACACGACCCCGATCGACGAGGAGGACCCCGCCTTTGTGTTCAACATGGAAGAAGAGGAGGATCAATCCTCCGCCAGGCTTCGCAAGCGGGGCTCTGCCGGGTTTGGCATCGGAGGCGGATGGAGCTACGCTAACGCTCTCTCCGGCAAGAACGCTACCCCTACCTCTGGCCTCGCCAAGGAGCAGCGGGAGCCCTCGGTCAGCGTCGAGACGGTTGGTGGACGTTGATGTGATACTTTTTCCAAAAAGGACGTTGACAACAACACCCGGGAGAAAGGCATAGCGACTGATGGAACGCCATCCCACTCGGTGGCTCCCCGGGTCTGCTCTCGACTCTTCCACACCCTGACGACACTCTACGACTCAAATTTCAGCCACGACTTTCATAGCATGCATTGGCATAAAAAATCGCCATCGGAAAACGAAAATAACCGGTCTTCAAAAATCAAGGGACATAGCAAGGGATCGGAATCTACGGGGTGGCTGTTTACACAACAACAGGGCAGGGAGTTTGCTGGAGTTTTATCGTCTCTTTACCCCCCTCCTTCTCCTTCTTCTAGGCTTACACGGATTGGATCTTGGAGGTTGTAATAGGTTGGACGTGCCCGGCGGCAGTAGCTCTGCGTCGGGCCGTTCTGCTTTCGCTCGTTACTAAAATCTAAAATGGAGGATATATTGGCTCTGTCTGGTTGGAAGCATAACCTCCAAGCCCAGGTCGAGACTGGGGTTCTAGGATATGTCTTCAGGGAATGAATGTATAGGGAGGCTGTAAATGCTCGCTTTGACGTGGGGAATGGGGAGGTTAAAATAAGATGACGGAGGGTTAGGCCAGGTTGGCACATGCGTTTGCGAGTCTTTTGTTTTTTCTTCTTGGATTTTCTGAAAGTGGAATAGAACATGGCCAGCGTCTACTTGTCACGGGTCGGCAGGCTGCGTGACTCGGCACCGCATTAGAGACGTTTGGAAGAGGAAAAGCTGATACCACCGTCTAATTATCGTCCACTATATACAAAAGCTGTTGTCGTTGTATCTTATCAGATTGGTTTCACCTGGCGAATTAGTAGTGATCCATGACCATTCTTAGGACTCCAGGAAATATCGTCACGAAACGTAGATATCCCTCGGCTTGCCCAAGTGACCAATCCCGAACATTCCCGATCAGACTTGGAGAGATAAAACCGAACGTGAAGGACAGCTGCGCCTTGTGCACAGGACAGACAAATCACTAGGGATCCCAATGTTGACGAACAAAATCTATACACTAATACAAGGCCACGCGGGCGGGCTCCAGCCATGGTCAAACATGCAGAGCAGCGTCGCATTGCCATTCGAGGCGCGGGGGAAGCGCCGCGTTGTGGGCTACCATACCAAACCGTCCACCCCATCGCGGCCAAAATAAAGCCCTCCGGCTCTCTTTTCCCTTCGTCCCTTCATAAGCTGAAAGAGCCACAGACGCCGCATCTCTCTCATGTAAGTTACCCCCCTCCCGGTTCTAAGTTGCGAGTGGCGATGTCGATGTCGGGGGCAGGGCTAAAATTGTACAGACCGCCGGGGAGACGGGCTTAGCGGAGAAGAGTGATCATTTTTTTGGTTTGCGTTTAGTGAGCATCGGGTTGGCTGAGGATGTACTCGACGGCCTTGTCGACTGTTTCGGCGGGGTTAGTATATTCCTCCTAATGGATGCCAGCTGCGGCAGCAACAAGGGATGCGGTGCTACGAACTTGAGTGGATGGTGTCGGCGTCCTTGTCGGGGATCTCGATGCTGAACTCCTCCTCAATGGCCATGACGACCTCGACGGTGTCCAAGCTGTCGAGACCGAGGTCGTTGGCGAAGTGGGCAGTGGACTTGATCTGTGCAAATGCAAGAATGCGTATCAGCTCTGTGTCTTGAAGCTCCCGTGCGACCCAATTGGGTCGGTCTTGACGGGTGGTGGTGGTGATGAAGGTGGTGATGGCGGGAGGGGCAACGTACGTTGGCAGGGTCGTTGACCTTGTCGAAGCCCTGGAGCAGAGCAAAGATGCGGCCCTCAACCTCGTCCTTGTTCAGGCCGGTGGCGGCAGAGTAGAAGCGGACGGAGACGGCCTTGGAGGCGGCGCGGGCGAAGGCGGCACGGGGCGCGACGAGAGAGCTGCGGGCGAGGGGAGCGGACTGCTGTACGGCGGGACGGATGGCGCGCGAGGCGGCGGCCGCGGAACGGAGGACTGCTGTGCGGAACATGGCTGTGGTTTGTGGTCGAGGGAGACGGACGGGTCGAGAAAGGCAAAGCTTTGCGGGAGCTCTGGCGTCGGGTTGGGGGGATGCGAGATGGTTCGTTCGGGGGTGGCAGCTAGGCTGGTCTGATGGGAGCTCTTGGGGTGGTGGAGGAGGTCATTGCCATGATGATAAATTTCTCGTCACCCCGAGGCGTTCCCTGGCTAGCTCCGATCGCAGCCACGTGACTGGTCATGTGATGAGATGGAAAACATGACGTTACGCGATGATCGTTTCTCGCAAGGCTTTGAAGAGTGCGAAATTCGATAGTGATGATTTGATGCTATCAAAACTCCGATGCAAATTTTCGAGACCAATTGAGCATCAGGCGCCGGTCGCCACTGGCTTCATCATCATGATGCTTCCTTCCTTCCGACATGGCAGATGGTCGGAAGCCACGTGACCCACCTCCAGCCAATCAATTCCCGCCCTTTGTAATCCCGCACCAAAGCTCGTCCCCCCCAGCCCAGTGCCGGGCAAATGTCCCAGTAAACGTCAAGCTCAACACCCGAACAACCGCAACTCCCTCAATTGCACGTCGCCTCCCGACACCCCGCGATCCTCGATCAACCCCCCTCCGACCTGCCGCCTGCCCGGTCAATTGGAGCCGTCGCACATCCTCCACGTCGAATCGAGAATCACACAGTCTCCGACAATGCCTCCCGCGGCGCAGCTTCCCGTCACAATGTTCCTCGCAGCGTCGAGGCCGGCCGCGAGAAACTCGTCGGCCGTCCTGGTCAACCGCCTCATGGCCGCCAACGCCGTCCGCAACTATGCCACCCCCGCTGGCCCCCCGCCGACGAACTTCCGCCAGAAGAGATTCGAGACGTGGGACGAGGACAAGGAGTCCACCCTCAACAAGATGGGCAGATTTTTCCTGCTGTCCGAGATGGCAAGGGGAATGTACGTGCTCATGGAGCAGTTCTTCCGCCCGCCCTACACCATTTACTATCCCTTTGAGAAGGTGGGTCGACTTCTTGTTTGTTGGTTTTGGGAGGGCGTTGGAAGTATTCGGGCGCGGGAAATGACGGGACGAGATATGGAAATGCGGAAGGGAGCCACGGAACAGCAGCCGGGGTCGGAATTGATCTCGTTGCGACACCCGACAGTCACGCAGTCATGAAGGACCAAGCGGAGAGCGTTTGAGCAACGAAGAGGCGGAATCAAAATATCGCGAAGCATCGAAACTAACATCAAACCCCAGGGCCCCATCTCCCCCCGCTTCCGTGGCGAGCACGCCCTCCGCCGCTACCCGTCCGGCGAGGAGCGCTGCATCGCCTGCAAGCTCTGCGAAGCCATCTGTCCCGCCCAGGCCATCACCATCGAGGCCGAGGAGCGTGCCGACGGCTCCCGCCGCACCACCCGTTACGACATCGACATGACCAAGTGCATCTACTGCGGCTTCTGCCAGGAGTCGTGCCCCGTCGACGCCATCGTCGAGTCCCCCAACGCCGAGTACGCCACCGAGACCCGCGAGGAGCTGCTGTACAACAAGGAGAAGCTGCTGTCGAACGGCGACAAGTGGGAGCCTGAACTGGCCGCCGTCATCCGTGCCGACGCCCCCTACAGATAAAATGAATCGATTGGCAAGGGAGTATTGGAGAGGAAACGAGCATCATTTTTCTTTACGGGTTAATGCTTGAGAGGGACATGAGCAGAAAGAGAGCGGCGCAGAGCAATAGCAGGGGCGGCGTCTGCGGCGGCAGCAACAGCGGTGGCGAGGCTCTGGCATGCTGTGTATGTGTACTACAGACAGGTCGGGATCTTTTAGACTTGTGTAAATATCTCGCGAAAAGCAACCTTTTCTTTGTCCGTTGTAACGCTGTATCACGTCTTGCTGTCTGGTGTGATGAGAGGACAAGTATGAGCATATGTGGCAGTAAGTGGCAACACCTTTTGCGCCGGATCATTGCGGGCGGAATCACAGTCACGCTTGCATGTGGAAGATTCAACGTGGGAAGATTATAATTAATGTGTCTTACACATAGCCACGGCTGATGATCACACTCGCGGGTGTTAGCCATGTAGAGGGCATATCCAGCCAACGCCTTGCTTAAATCAAGCCTAACCAGCCCATACATTTTTGACGCAGCGCTACCATGAATCCAGAGTCTCGTCAAAATCACCACATTTTTCTTCATCATCATGGTCCATCAGAACCTGTCAAAGCCATAAAAACGCCCTAGAAACTCTTTTCCCACGCTCCCCACCAGATACCCATATTGGCGGCAATGACGAGATCCAGCATCTTTATCCCTTCCGGATAAACAATCAGCTTGCCCAGCTTGGCCCTCTTTCCGCGGTTGCCACCGCCCGCCTTCTCCCGCCCGAGCCGGAGGTCGAACGGACTAGGCACGTCCTCGTCGTCGCTGTACTCGCCGGGCTTGCCAATGTTGAGCAGCTTGCTAAAGTGGCCGCTGAGCTGCTCCCGCTTGCCCTCCTGCTTGAACAGCTCCGTCGTCGGCAGATTGAAGCGCAGCTCGCTGACGGGCGCCGAGTTGGACGTGCCCGAGGGCGCGAGCGGGTTGCTTTGGCCGCCGCCGGCGCTGGGGAGGACGTGGCGGCACTTGACGCTGCGGCCGGCGTTGCCCGTGCGGAACTCGCAGCGGCCGTCCCACGGCGACACGAACACGTAGCCGCGGGGCCGCAGGCCGTGGCCCGGCTGGGTGATGATGGGGCCCGAGTCGCTGCCGTTGGAGGACATGGAGCCCGTGGAGTGCGCGCTCAGCTGGCGCGAGTGGCGGTTCGAGCGCGGGGGCGGGGGGCTGCCATATGGCTCGTCGACGACGCTGCTCGACCGCGAGCGCGAGTTGAACTTTTCACGGATGTTGGTCGTCCAGGATTTCGCGTAGGCCATCACGACCTGCCTGTTGAAGCCGCCTTCGGAGGGGGGCTGTTGCATCTGCATCTGCTGCTGTAGCATCTGCTGCTGGGCATGCCAGTTGAGGGCATCCTCCGAGTTGGCGAAGGGCGGAGGCGCGACGGAGGAGGTGGAGGCGCGGGGCATGTCGAGGCTCTGGCGGAGGGGCATGTGGCGGAATTTTGCGTAGCCGGACGACTCGAGGCGGATGCTGATGGGGGGCTGGGGGGCGTTGGCGCGGCGGCGGTCATGGGCGGAGAGGCCGGCGGAGTCGAAGGAGAAGTACTCGTAGTCCTCGCCCGAGTCCTCGAGCTGGTGGGAGGAGACGCGGCCAATGTTCCACTGGTTGCCGGTGCTCGGGTCGCGGCGGATGAGGGAGAGGGTGAAGGGCACGGCGGTGGTGTTGTGGAAGCGGTTCGGGGAGGGGGAGCGGGAGAGCTGGCGGACGTGGTGCTGGTGAGGCGTCGATGTCGACTGGCGCGAGGTCGAGCGGTAGGATGGCTCCTGCGGCATGCGCGAGGGTGACCCCGACGGCGATGGGCGGAAGGCGTCTGAGGGGTAGAGGACGTCGTGGTGATCCGGGGCCGGGGTCGGGATGGCTCGGGGGCCGACGGGTTTGCGGACCGGGGCCGGGGGTGAGTAGGACAGGGGCCGCGGAGGCAGATCCGGGCGGGCGTCGGGGAGGTCATCGGGGCGGAAGTGGTCGTAGGCGGTGCCGTAGCCGCCGGCGGCGGGGTGGGATCCGGGGAGGGGGTAGGATCGGGCGGGCTCGGCAGGTGGCGAGGGGACTTTTGCGGTGGAGGGCAGGGGTTTGCGGCGGATCTGGTTGGCGCTGCGGGTGCTGTCGATGCTGGACCTGGGCGTGTCTGGGTTGCGGAGGTGTTGTTGAGGCTGCTGGTGGCCGACCTCGTACGGTCGGTTTCCCTCTCCGGGAAGCTCGAGGTGGATGTAGTAGAAGGAGTTTGCGACGTCTTCGCTGGTGACGTTTTTGAGGTGTGGTTTTGACGTGGTGAGAATCACGTCTGGACGGGGGGTTAGTTGCGCTCATGAGATTTTTGTTTTGAGATGCAAATGCAAAGAAGAGTGAACATGCTAGATTAAAACATACCTCTGGTTCCCGGCACGCGTGAAATGTAGAGAGTTAACGGTTCCTGGCGCTCGCCGGCTGGGTTGTGAGGGTATTGGGGCGGGTTGGCGGCCAGGTAGTTGAGCGAGGCCAGAGACCTCGCCTCGATCTGGGTGGCCATTCTGAAGAGGGATGAATTCTCCGCAGGGCCAGACGGGAGGGATGTGGGCGGGTTTTGTTCCTGTGTGAACAGTGTGACGGAGTGCAGGTCGGGAGGATGAGCTGAGATGTGGTGGTGGTGTGTGTAAGTGCGCGCGTACGTATGCAAGCAGGGCGTGCGTGTTGGATTGAAATGTATTGTATTGTATTGTATTGTCTGGTGGTGTTGGTGTGTGAGTGAGTGAGTGGTTGAAAAGGGTGGCTGAGCCAAGACGAGGAGGTGATGTGAGGCGGGAGCGTTCACAGCCCACTCCAAATTATCTCTGCCCAAGGTCCTAACCACAAGGCACAGGGCACAGGGAACAAATAGGCGGCACCTCAGCTCCCATGTGCCGCGAAACGGGCCCAGCGGCGGCGGGGGTGGACGTGGACGCGGACTGCTGAGGGCGGAGACGGGTGGCCGGGGTGACCAGGGAGCTGGCGCTGTCACCGTCACAGGTCGCGAGCTGGTGTGGGCCGGAGCCGTCTAGAGTTTGCGATGATGATGGAGGTCCGGATACCGGTACCTGAGGAGAATCAGAGAGAGGATGAAATGTTGGCGTGGTTGGGCGATCTGAGTAAGAGGTGATCGACGCTGCAGACGGCTCGGGTGGTTGGGGGCGTGTGCGTTTGGAAAAAGTTGAAACGACAGACGACGACGACGACGGACTGGATGAGAAAATCGACGAATGCACAACGTACACACGAGACTGTCCGTATTCGATTCGTTGGTATTCGTGTGTGTGTATGTATGCGTATATGTGGGTGTGTGCCTGAGAAGAGTGTGTGTGCTGCGTATTCCGTGCCTGGAAAAAATGACTACACAGTCTTGGGACGAGCGGGTTGGCTGGTTGGTTCGTTTTGCTGGTGATGAGGCGTCCGAGGCGACGCAGGGCGCGGGAACCACGGACGGGAGGGATTGGATGAGGTCAGAGTCGATGCTCAGAAGAAAAAAAAGAAACCAGGAAATTTTAACTTGGTGCCTGGTTGTTGTTTTCTTGTGTTTGTTTGTTTCGTTCTTTGCCGTCCTTCCCTAGTCTCCCAAGGGTGCTTTTGCGACTGAAAGCCGGGGTGTCGGCCTCTGTTTCTGGAGCGTGAATCCTTAGCTGGCCTGCTTGGATTCACTCGGCAACTGTTGCTGCTGCTGGTGGTAATGATGAAGATGACCAGCTGGGCACGAAGGTAACTGATCGCAGTCGGTGGTTGAACAGGACACGGCAGGGTGTTTGTTCCAATGGCAAAAACGAGTCGTCAGCCGGCTGGGGCTGTGCTGTTCCGCGGAAGCAGTGAGCGGCGATTGCCATGCGAAGCAGCGAAACAACGAGAAGCAGAGCGACCTCCGGGCCCCGTGAGTGTCCTTGAACGCCGCTTTGTGGGGTTGACAAGAGAGGTGTCTACTTCTTCTGCCGGCTTTTCTTGTCTGCCGCTTTATTTTGGGACAGGAAATGTTTATGCAGCAGCAAGCAGACGGGCTTCGGGGACGGCGACGGCGGTGATGATAATTTAAAGGCGGGAGATGAGTGTGGGCGGCGCCTGGTCTTGGCGTCAAATTGGACACTGAGAAGAAAACTAACCCCCCCAGCCTGTTGCAATCTAACTCAACTCGACTCAACTCAACTCAAACAGAGGCACGGATCAGAGTCTAACTTGTCCTCGTCTTCGTCGCCGTCGTCTTCTCGTGTCTGACTGTGCACCAGACTTTTCTGCTCGCTGAGGTTGAGAAAAGGTTGCCGCCTGCAGGAGGGGCAGATCCAGAGCCGGGAGGATTTCCGTGTGAAAGAGGGGGCCTGTGCTATTTTTCGCATCCTTTTCTCTGCTGCATCTTGGTGACTGAGCGAAATGGGACGGAACCACGGAAGGGAAGGGATGGGGGCACGGGAGGTGACTGATGGATGGATGGATGAATGGATGGGAGAATGAATGGGACGGGATGAGCTCGGGGCGACTGGATGATGCAGCGACAGCGACAGCGACGCACATGCGGCAAGCAGCCCTGCCTGCATCGTACCATGCCGTGTTTGCGTGAGCTTCACTCGGACTCCATCAGCTTCATCTGCCCCTCTGCCTGACTGGGCTGACGAGGCTGCGACCTCGCCGACTGGCCCTCGCGACTGTCTCGTTGTCTCGCTCCAGACGCTGGATGACGATGACTGGTCTCGGATTGTCCTTCGAGTCCCCTTGTATTCCATGCACTAATGCTCGAGACCCCTGGACATTGAAACAGACCCTGAAAGACCGGCTACAACGACGTCCAAAGGGATTGGTATGTACGGACACACACAGTCGCTACTGCATGGCCATGGCAGCTGAGTCCAGACATGCTGATAATATGGGTCGACAGCACGCACATGTCAACTGCCAAAGGGGATGGATGAATATTGGATTGGATTTTGGCCGCAGCGGGTAAGGCCAGGAGACGCCGAGCGCTGAGGGGCTCGAGGCTCGAGCTGTGGAAGGGGAACAGGGATGAAGCATTCACTGGGGGCCGACTTGGACGAATAAGCATATTCGCATGAAGATCAGCGTCGCCCCGAGAACATCCACCAGCCTCTTAAAGTTGGGGATAGACTTGCAGTCTCATCTTGCATAGAGTCAGTCGACAGAACACCTAGCCGGGAGCCCCTCGTCTCTCTCGATCGTCTCCTCGCTCTCGACACCAACTCACACATTGACGCCGGCCACGGAGAGAGAGACCTCTGCAACACTGCAACCGAAACGAATAGAGACATCCCACCTCGACATCGACAGGCTCTTGGCCCCCTTCCACGTCAACATCAAGGGTCCAGTGCCCGCTGTGGCGGCAAGTCGAACGCGGCACAGGGGCACACCCGCGCGTGCCGCAAGGCCATGAGACGGGTATCCCAGGGACCCCGAAGTATGCAGTACTTACGATAGTACCTAACTCTTGGTGAGACAGTCTTCATCACCAAAAGACAAGCGGCAGCTTAGCCACACTTGCGCCTCGCACAGGAGAAGCTGGCTTGGCTCGTACGGATGTACTATGGTAATCCCCTGGAAGACGCCGCATGCCTCGGAGTAAGACAGCAGCCCGTTCAGCGTGCCATGTCCTTGTCGAAGGCCAGCTGGCAGGTGGAAACTTTGAACCCAAGCCTCTGGGTTGAAAGCTTGGGTTCCCCGGCGGTGCCATGAGCGTGGCCAACACCCATTCACCCACTCTCGGCCTGCGACTGCCGCCCTCCCTAGCTCGTCGTCCACGCCAGCCGTCCTTTACACTCTTGCATCACCTGGGCGCCACGGCCGTTGACGACGTTGACGATGATGTGTCGACGATGTCGAGATTGGCGACGGTGATGTCACGTCTCCAACCCGAATGCACATCAATGGAGCCGTCTGTGAGCTAGTTTTGTCTTTCCCTCTGTTCTATTTTCAATCATGTCAATCATTCAGGATCTTCATCCCTTACGAATCCCGAATCCTGCCATTTACACGCGATGAACACCCTCAGCACATGTACGCAGTACTCTGTACAAAGGTTGATCGACGTCAGCTGGCTTTATGGGGTTCGTAATCCGGGAGGCTTGACGGCCGTGTGCCCAGACTGCCGGACCCAGGTGACCCTCGCCGACGACCAGTCGGACATTTTGCACCGGGCGATCGGTCGCGCACACGGAGACTTCTGCACCCCAACGGCCGCCTCGGGTCCTCCGCAGTCTGAAATTCCCGACACCACGGCGCGGCGCCAAGTCCGGTTTGCACTCAAGCCATGTTTCCGCCCGAAAGCATGGCCGCTCGGAATTCCACACCGTCACCCGGCGGAAATACCTGCTCGAAGCGCCCTGAGTCGCTTCCTTTCCCCCAACGCGGATGTCGGCCGGACTTCCATTTTCATCGTCTCGCTGCCCCTTTGTTTGACACAGAGTGTTTCCTTACGTCATCTGGCCGGTCGTCGGCATATGGCCCCGTTTACAGGGCCGGACTAGTCCGTCTTGTCATTGTTCAGTGTGCCCCCTCGGTCGTCTGATTTTTATTCAGGGGCACCAACGGTGACCCGAAAGCGAATTCTTTATCCTCAACACGATATCTCATTGCAAACAATAGAGTGTTGTTGTTCCTTTTACGGTTAAAGGCTATTTGGACCATACCGCACACTTCTTAGCGAGAGGCGTCAATCGGGTGGGATGCCGAGTGCTGGTCCTTGCTATCCCGGCAACTTTGCTACCACTGGTGGGAGAATATCACCCACGGCTAAGAGGCATCGTCACATCGTGGTCCGGACCCTCTGCCGACTTGGCAGATGGGTGTGGTCTTTTCCGGAATTCATTGATGGGCCTCTGGTGACTTCAAAGCGCTGCTGCCACGGGGTCCGGACATGGAGCAAGAGTCATGAAGATGACGGACGCAAAGTCCGACTTACGCCCTGAGATTTTGCAGCCCGGGTCTTGTGTTTAGAGCCCAGCAGTCACCTTTTCTCCCCCTTTTGAGTTGATTCTCGTTATTCCGCCTATCACGAGTTTGTTTCACTATTCACTTTTGAGCAGACGTCTGTCCCAACGATCCGGGAGCTATATCAGCCTCACATAATGCTCCGTTTTCTAGACTCGGCCGAGGGTGGACAGGCCTTGATTCGACTAGTGTTTCCAACAAACGAGACCACAACGCCAGTTGCGCCCCTCTTTTACGAGTAGTGACCAACGAGAAGGATTCTCCCGGCGGAACTACCACATCCCACCGGCAAATCTTCCCCATATTCTAGTCGACACGCGCTTCTGTCGTCCCCCTATCGTGGAATTTTGTCCTTGGACCCTGGACGAAGTTGGCAAGCGCTCCATCGGGCCACTCCCTTACAGCCTAGTAAACACCCAAATGGAGGATATCTCCGTTCTTGCAACGGGTGATGGGCCAGAACCTCTCCTCCGCTTTTGAACAGTGTTACGTTGTATTGAGCTCCTCTCATTTCGCGTGCTTCTAGGGAGCGGCCTGGGACCTTGTTGGTTCTAGAAGGCCAAGAACGAGATGTAGTGT